TGCCTTTTTAATTTTTAACTGCATAGATTTGGATCTTTTATTTTGGAAAGGACAGCTAAGGGGCTATATATTTTGTTTACTCTTTCAAAGAAACAACACTCAATTCATTAATTCTTTGTATTATTATTATCATTATTATTATTATTATTGTCTTTTTGAACAGGGTCTTGCTATGCAGTTCAGGCTGGCCTTGAGCTCACTTTGTAGCCCAGGCTGGTCTTGAACTTACAAAGATCCTCCTGCCTCAGCCTCCTGGATGTCGGGATGACAGGCATGTGCCATCACACCCGGCCTCTTTGTATTATTGTTAATATCAATTTCATGGATTTCTGCTCTGGTCTTTATAACTTCCATCTCAATACCTTTCAAAGTCTGAAGGAATGTAGGTATGAGAAAACTGAAGAAGGAAAAACAAGAAAAAAAAACCAAGAATGGTGGGAAAAATTATGACAGAGTGAAGAGAGAGATGCAAAAGAAGGAAAAAAACATGGTGCCCAAAAGCTCTGTATTAATTACACCTCTATGCACAAGACTCTGAGGTAGGAGTGCAGTGGGTGAGGTCTGATTCATGTTGTGCTTCTGATCCCTATTTCTGAAGCTAAGTATTATGATACTATGAATAGAGTATGCATACTCTTCACAGTGTCCATTATTTTAAAAATCAGGATAGAAGTAAATGACAAATGAAGAGTTAGTGAGCTTCACAACTATCATCAGGTTAATTACATACAATGAGATGGGCATCTGGTGTTCCTCAGCAAAGGAGATCTTTAAAATGATGGCCAAAATAAAGACACAGGAAAACACACCAAGCACTAACAGGCTAAGAGGTCTGACTCAGGGTGTATATACTTTCTTCTCCCTACCATTCAAATTCATTTGGAAAAATATGGCAGAGAAAATCTTGGGTTACATCAGGCTACAAAAGAGATGAAAACTACCCTGGTCTTCAAATTGTAATAACTGAACCTGTCTTAGTACAAAGCCCCAAGATAGGCATAGTCATGAGGGATATTGTTTTTCTTGTACCACACAGAGGCACAGAAAGGTGTATACAGTGGGCATATTCCATAAGTGTGAAAAGGGTTCATTGTGGCAAAGGCTAAGGATGAGGTTCTTAACTTATCCACCCATGTGATACAACTGTAGAGCCACAGAAAGTTGAACAGCTTTGATTACCACACTGAACATAATTTTAGAGATGGAGAAATCAGATCAGAAGTGGTACACGGATGTGAGAACCCTTTATTCACTGCAAAACATACACTGAGAAGTAGGTTCCCTACCAGTATGAACAGGTACATGAGCAGGTAAAGGGAGAGGAACTTTGCCTGGAATTTCCTCCAACGGAAAGTCAAGAAACTAAGGATAAACTGAGATCAGGTGAACAAGCACAGCTCTTATACCTACTGAGATCAAAACGAGATGAACACACAATGCTGAAAATGTATGCTGTGACACAGCTCAAACTGCAAATTAATATTTCCTTGCTACTGAACAACATCCTAGGCCTTCCAGTGTTTTTTACTATTAAAAAATAAAGGTCTTATTATTCACCACTGTGATACAGTAAAATAAGACTTACATATGAAAGTGTAGGGCCAGGGACATAGCTCAGCGACACAAGCATCTGCCTGGCAGGCGCAGGTCCTGAGTTTGATTCCCGGTACCAAAAAAAAAAAATGTGTAAAGCAAGTGTTTAGCAACAAATTGCAAATAATGTTTTCATATTTTGTAAAAATATAAGCATTATATTGGCAAAATATATTGATTTTAATATAGAAAGAAGTAAAAATTACAGAGGAAGTATGGTTTAAAAAATTATAGAGGAAGCTTTCTTTATGAAAACCGCCCAACTCTGAGACTCCACACACTTCTGTTTAGAGTAAATTTTTAAAGTGCGGTGCAAAAGCACACAGGCTCTATGAGTAGTGAACGGTTAAACAAGAAGTTTAGATTAGTGAGGTATGTTGCTGTGACCACTGTTTTTCTCCTTTCTCCATGAAAACTGCACAGCTTTGAGGGACTACCTGGCCCAAATTGTTTTTTATCTGCTTTTTTCACTTATACTGATATTCTAAATAAAAACTTGAGGGCTGGGGATGTAGCTCAGCAGCGTAAGTGCTTGCCTGGCAAGCCTGAGGTCATGAGTTTGATTCCTGGTACCAAAAAAAAAAAAAAAACCAAACCAAAACAAAAAACAAACCAAAACTGGAGAGTTCTCAGCTGCAGGGATTTTCCTGGGAGTCCTTCTAATGCTGGGTGCTCTCGGTTGAGACAGCCCCTCTGGATCTCTTGTTAATTAAATAAGTCTTGTCTCTAAGTAATCATTAGATCTCTATGCCGCCCTGTTGGCTCACTGACACAGTGGGTCCCTGTGTGAGGAAACCCCTGCTTCTGCAGATCAGCATAGAGGACTGACTCCCCAAAGCCTGGAAAAGGAACAAGGATGTGTCTGACTCTTCATCTCAATAAGGGGCAAAACCAGCCATGGGCTAGCCAGGCATGTTTACTGCAAGGCTGAATATTAGCTTTATCAGCCCAGAGGTCTTTTAACTGTCCAAATGCTAAGTAAGCAGGGGCAGTTCACTTGAGTTTCTTTCTGCTCTTCCACTTTTACTTCTCCTGCCTTGTCTATAATATAGGTCAAACTTAAGAAGAAGAAAAAACAATGAAAACAATGTTTACAATGTCTCTTAAAAACTTGAATGGTAAAAAAAATAGCATAGAAAAACATAAAAAGAGAAAAAAATAGAAAAGAAAAAAAGGGCTAAAGGCATCAAAAGTCAAGCTGATAAAGTATGCTAAACTGGGACAAATCTATTAGGGAAAATAGAAACTCTGAGCAATATTGTTACAAAGGCTAAAAGCCATAGGAAAAACACCTGAGCAAGCATGCTGATTAAATATAGATATTTTATGTATTCTGTATGTTATCTTGTCTGTTTTTCTATTAGATTGTTTTAATAACTGGTTAAGGCACCTGCAGCTTCTTTTGTAGAAAGTTTTGAGCTCATAAGTTTTAGTTTTTCTTTCATTTTTGTCCTTGAAAGCTTGTTGCTCTTTGCTTTGAGGTTTTTTTTTTTTTTTTT